CATGTGACACTACAACTCCACCGCAGCAGCATGAGTATCTTAATTATTTATTTTAGCATCCAACAAAAAATAAAGAAGGCAATGAATAATGGGACAAAGAGTGAAAAACAAACAAGCCTGCAGAAAGTTTCCTGCAAGAGTTGGCTTTTTTTGCATCATTCACGAGCGCACACAGGCTCTCCCCTCCCGACTTCCATTCCCTTTACGGTCCTTTTCTCCCTTCCTTTCTTACTTCGGCTGTAGATTTTCGCTTCCTTAAAGTAAGATGTTAGGTTAGTGCAATGTACAGATTCACCTGTCTCTTTTCCCCATGTTCTTGGAACTTCACCGATTGATAGTTAAATCAGCCATGCCTGATCATAGTTTGACTCGTTCAAAATCCGACACCAGCCAACAAGAACTAGTTGATCCAGCCATATCGAGCTGGTTAAACCTAATTCAAACTTGATAGGATTACCATCGAGAATTGTTTTTGAAAAAACCATAATTAATTATAGTCAAAGTTACATACTCGCAAACAAATATTTTGCCGGAAAATTCAGTTCGATAACTACATAGGCTTGGATTATGGCAGCAATGATTTGGCTAGCGAGTTCCAGGAGGTAAAATGCACTTTATTTTTGTAGAGCCATCTCCAAAACAGTCAGCGACGACTTTGATTACAGAAAGTGAGATCACGGGGTGAACAATTAGTCATTTTTATAAATCTTTTAAGTTCAAGATCTGCCTCTTAATTAATCCATTCCGATAGTTTAAAATGGCTTGAATTTGTAAGATTTTCTCAATGATGAATTCATTCACTTACAATCATAACATGGAGTCGACATGCCAGCGATGGTGTTTTACTTTTTTGCCTAAAATATATTACCTTGGACCCACAGAATTTTCTACTAAGTTTCTTGATTACTCTTAAAATCCGGTCTAAATCCGGCTCTAAATCATAATTCTTTTAGATTAACCCGTTAATCAGATCGAGTTTAATTTTTTGAGTACTTAAAGGATTCATTGCATTGATTAGTGGCTGTAAACTCGTGCGTTTCCAACTGGACAACTGAGGATCAAGAAGCTGTCGGTAAGACTCATAGTGGTGAGGGATTAATCATGAAGAAAGTGGGGGCGCCAGTCAAGAGGCAGTAAATTTCTTCACGAGAACAGATATTATTCAACATTCACGTGTTGTCCTAGCATCACTGTCACTCTCGATCCCACTTTAATTATTCCATGATACAAAGCTGTGTTGCTTTTTAAAGTGATTATAGTAGATAAATCAATTAATATCCCATTTAAATAAAATATGGAGATTTAACAGCTAAATCAAACATAATATAATAGAAACGGAGTTCATCAAAACACTATATTATATAGTTCAAATGGCTGGAATCAACTGAACGGAAAGAATTCAACAGTGTGAATCAAAATAAAGGTATTTATTTATACATTTTAATTAGCCCCTAGCTAGCTGGATCATACCATTCGAGTTTAATGATGTGCCTTGTTTGGATTCAAGGAAACAGACATCGCTTTCTCTGGCACCAGCTTCTTTGTTTCCAGTTTTTCTCAGGACGGGAGAGGCACAACTATAATTCTTGGCATGTCTCTAAGGACTGGCTTCTTTCTCGTTAATAAAGCTTTAATGGCTTCTTTCATCGTTTTTTTGTTATAATTTTAGGATGTGAAATTTTTTTTTTTTTTGATTTACGTGGGGTGTCCGGGCCAGCTTACGCGCACCACGACTAATCCCAACGGCCCACTGAACATCCTGCAAGCCCAGTGAGCAGGTAAGGCACCGCGGGGGTAACAGGCGTACATGGTGAGGTTTGAACCTAGGTACGGAAAAAGGGGACAAGCCTCTCCCACTGCTAGGCCAGAACCTCACTTGCTAGGACGTGGAATTTCTTCAAATTGCATGTTGTGGTACTAAGCTCCAAATTGGTGGGTGAAATATCTGTCAAAGTTTTAACAAAACAATTTAATTAAGATTTTATTTTTCAATATAGTTATAATAGCTGAATGAAGAAATAATTTGAAAAAGAATATGAGTTATTATATCAACTCGAATTAATTAATTTTATTAAAAAATATTATTTTTGAAAAATTTATTAGAATTAAGTCAGTTAAATTTGGATTGAGTTTCATCAACTAACCAAAAACTTAACTAAATTAATTAGATTAATTTTATCAAATAAAAAAATCCAACTTATATTATTATTATTTTGAATTAATTTTAAATGATGGCATCATTAACCAAATTTTAGCAACATTATAGCACTCTTTTCTAAGTCATAATGGAGTTGTTGGGTCCATCTCCTCAGGGCTCCCACCGTTAAATAATTACAAAAAGATTAGATTCACAAAATCTATTTGATCGATAGAAATACAATGATCCAATTTTGAAGAGCACAAAGAAGTATTCTGATTGTTCCACTCTGAAGCAGTCACATGCAATTGAACCTATCATGCATGAGATTCATGCCAATTTCCACTGGACAGAAAACCAGCTAATGGCTTGACTGTAACAGAGCTGAGAGCGACTGAACTTGTAGAGGGGGCACAGTTTAATTTCCCGTCCAGCAAGCAAGAAATTCTACTTTCAACGGGAAGAAAGAAACAAGAACTTCCCATAAACGAACATCACGCCATGCTCAAAGGAGAATCTGCCCATGCCCTTGTTTTGTTTTAGAAATTCTGTGGATGATTGTGGCTGATGCAACTGCTGATCATTTCCGAGCGTTCCTGCTTGAAATGGAGGTTCGTGCAAGATTTACATGCGTGCATCATTTTTGAACAATCAAGACTGGACAGTCTTCGGCAACATTTTGCATTTTGTTGATTATTTATTAATTAAAATATAATTTAGATCTCACTTCTGATTGATAAATAGTCATCTGAAATGAAATAGCATGAGATTGAATGCTAAATTGCCTCATAACCAATTTTTTTAGATTAACGTGAATGTTCGGACCAGTTTACGCGCATCACGACTAATTCTATCATTTGTTTTCATTTATACTAGACAGCACAAAAAAATTAACCTGAAATGAAATAGCACGAGATTAAATGCTAAATTGCTTGATAATCATTTTTTTTAGATTAATGTGGGTGTCCGAACCAGCTTACGCATACCACCACAACTAATTCCACCATTTGTTTCCATTTATACTAGACAGCACAAAAAAATTAAAAAAATAAAAGTGATGCTCTTTTATATTATCCACCGTCATTTCTAGACTAACCCAAAATTTTTTTTTATATTCAACAAAGTTATAAAAATATCAGTTCAAGATTTAGATTTTTAATTTTTTTATATTAAAATAATATTGTTTTTTATAACAAAAATATAATACCCAACCTATCTTGATTTGATTAAGAGATGTTTTTGGATGACCTGCTTTATCTTACCCCAACTCTACTTTCCACTAGTGGAAAGTTAGGGTAAGGACTGCAATTATCTAAAGAACCGACAAACCCTAGAAAATGTCCAAGCACCACGCACAAGAATCTGTATTCATGATAAAACAAAGCATTAATGATTCAATAGAGGTAAAAATGGTACGAAGATACTAAAAACTAAAAAAAATAAAAAGTGCACTTGGCAAATCTCTTGTTCATAATGCTGTAATGTCCATCAATCAATTTTTTATAGTGAAATTGCATGTGACTGATCCTGGAAGTGTTGTGTTTTCAGACTAAACTAAGTATTTTAATCATTTTTCAAACAATCTGGTAAAGAATCCAATGTGTTAATAACCAGCCAAGCAAATTGATTAAAATACTTTTTTTTTCTTACTATATTGTAAAAAAAACCTGAACTTTAATGAAAAACCAAAAACCCCTAAACAAGAAAAATCTCTAATTTTGTTCTCTAAACAATATATGATTTCATGAACGTGTCCCTTCTGTTGGGGACCTGCAGAGAAAATTGACGAAAAAAACCCATAAAAATTCTCCCAATTCCTATCATTTTTCTACCAGCTTGGAAAAAATGTTAGCAATGGATAGATAAAAGAGAGGTTTTTTGTCCCCCTTCTTGTTTGAGGAATTGCCAGCAATTTGCTCAATAAAACCCTGAAGGGACACATTCAAAAAGTCATGTTGTTTAGAGAGCAAAACCAAAGAATTTTTTAAGTCCAGGGAGTATCTTTTTTTCCCACTCAAGTCCAAATTTTACGATTCAACCTTTAATTTTTACAATGTCGAAATTCCCTATCAAACAACAGTAGATGCCAAGATATGGTCATGACAGAGACCAGTTGTACTGTTTGTGTTCTTGTATAGAATTCTCTCTCTGCAAAACGCTTTTCACACACTTTTAGATTAATAGAGCGCAGGAGTTTCACTGGTGTAAGAACCCTGAAGAAAACCGGGGAAAATTCAACTCAAACAAAGCTGCGGGCAATCGTATTGTTTTGAGGGGAACCATAGCGTCTTTTCAAGGAACTTTTGTGTAGTATAACGTAAAAAATCCCATCATTTTGGCCTTGTTGCTAACTTGATTCCCTTAATTTCGCATCATTAGCGCAGCTGCTGCTGCACCATCTCTTTAGTCATGATGTGATCCTTAAGCTAGCTATCATGCATATTTTGTCTTTATATTTGCCTACAAAGCACATCCCAAATCATCCCAAATCTATCTCTAAGTTCTCAAATATAATATGTAAGAAAAAAGAAGAAGATATTATATCTAGCCAGTAGGAAACTGACAAAGGCAGGAGAGGTCCAGCCTACAGGAGGAAATGGAATACAGTCTGTTAGCATACAACCCTCTTGCTTTTACTTTTATTTGTGTTTTTTTTTTCGGTGACACTATGTTTTTTGTTTAAATTAATTTTTTAATGTATTTTTATTGTTTTGATGTAATAATATAAAAATAAATTTTAAAAAATTAAAATAATTATTTTAATATATTTTTAAGTCGATATTTCAAACACTATTATTTCTGCCATCTACATGGCACCCCACTAGACATTACCCTTTCCCCATCTATATATACCACGCGTTACCTCTCCCTCCCTCTATCCTAAGGCTCTTTTACTTTCACAACCATGAAAGCCTACCTCTTCTCTCTAGCTTTCCTATACTTGTCCCTGGTCCAAGGGCTAAACACCAGAGGGCAAGGCACAACCGTCAAAGTCTTCCATGTCTTCAGCCCGCAGTCCCCATTTAGGCCCTCAAAGCCAGTATCATGGGAAGACAGTGTGCTCCAAATGCTGGCCGAAGATCAAGCTAGGCTTCAGTTTTTGTCAAACTTAGCGGGCAGAAAATCCTGGGTGCCAATTGCTTCAGGCAGACAGATTGTGCAGAGCCCAACTTACATTGTTAAGGCAAATGTCGGAACCCCAGCTCAGACATTTCTCATGGCTTTGGATACCAGCAATGATGCTGCTTGGATTCCTTGCAATGGCTGTGTTGGGTGTTCCTCTACTGTGTTCAACTCTGTTACGTCCACAACCTTCAAAAGCCTCGGTTGTGATGCTCCTCAATGCAAGCAGGTAATTAAATATGTTTGCAACCTTTCTTTATAAAGAATCATCTCTATATTTTCCATTACTAGGAACATTAAATCCTAGATTTTATGTTAAGAGTTAACTTCCTCCCTTATTAGATCTTAGATCACTGTTAGAAAACATGTGGGGCAAGATGGAGACGACACGTTATTTATTTCTTGATCAGTGCAAAAGCTTGGAAGTGATAATTGACAGGATCCTTCACGGGATAAAAATCACTAAGAAATCCATTCATCACATGATTACACGTAGATATATACTAACTTAAATGCATGAAAAATTGCAGGTACCAAACCCCATTTGCGGTGGCAGCACATGCACATGGAACACTACCTATGGCGGCTCCACCATTTTATCAAACCTCACACGGGACACAATTGCTCTATCTACTGACATTGTCCCTGGCTACACTTTTGGTTGCATCCAAAAAACCACAGGGAGCTCAGTGCCTCCTCAAGGACTTTTGGGCTTGGGGAGAGGTCCGTTGTCATTTTTGTCTCAAACCCAAGGCCTATACAAATCCACATTCTCATACTGCTTGCCTAGCTTTAGGACTCTCAACTTTTCCGGGACATTGAGGCTTGGACCAGCTGGCCAGCCCCTGAGGATCAAGACCACACCACTGCTCAAGAACCCAAGGAGATCATCACTATACTATGTGAACTTGATTGGAATTAGAGTTGGTAGGAGGATTGTTGATATTCCTGCAAGTGCTCTGGCATTCAATCCAACAACTGGTGCTGGGACCATCTTTGATTCAGGTAATGCTTCACTCATTAATTATTTTCTCCTTCGTTTTTATCAAACATTCCTTGTCTCGATGTCCCTTTTGACATGAATCTTTTAATTTGTTGAGTAGATCCTAATGCTTGACGAAAAACTACAGACATTTCTTTTAATTATCTAGAATAACAATAATCTAATCCTAATGTTAAAGTAACATTTAATCTCAGTTCTATGAAGATCTTGCCAAGAGGTTGTTATTGCCACACTGTGTCTTCCAGCTTTCAGATCCTAGTAGGTACAGTTGAACTGTGCGTGGTATCCAACCATTAATTGTAGACAAGAAAATAGAGACATGCAACAGAACACAACATTAGTCAAAAGATAAATCTAATAATTCTTATGTGGGCCAAGATGTCACATTTTCCTTTTAATGCTTCACCAATCACATCCCAGTGACCAGAAACTGGAGCTTTCTTCCCTTTTTTTTCAAAATTTCTTATGGCTATTTTGACGTGATCTTAACCAATTTATGCAAAACTATAGAGTGTCATCAAAGTTCTTAACGCCCAGTTTGCTAGGATCACAATTGAAATCCATTTCTCTTGATTTCAGGCACTGTTTTCACCAGACTGGTTGCCCCAGCTTACACCGCGGTCCGTGATGAGTTCAGGAAGCGGGTTGGCAATGCAACCGTGTCATCCCTAGGTGGGTTCGACACATGTTACACAGGACCAATCGTCGCACCCACCATGACATTCATGTTCTCAGGCATGAACGTAACATTGCCACCAGACAACCTACTAATTCGCAGCACTGCCGGTAGCACCTCTTGCTTGGCCATGGCTGCAGCCCCTGATAATGTGAATTCTGTGCTGAACGTGATAGCCAACATGCAGCAACAAAACCATAGGATTCTTTTTGATGTGCCCAATTCAAGGATTGGTGTGGCTCGGGAGCCTTGTTCTTGATTTTGTTTGCTTTGTTTTTTTCTTGGAAGTGTCGTGTGATGTGAAATGTCTTTGCTTGATGGAATCTTATTGCTTGGACTTGTCACTGACATAGAAAGAGGGAAGGTGAGGGAGCATGAGATAAAATTGATGTCATTTTGTAGGCTTTTGTGTACTTGGTGTCACGGGTTCTCTGTATGGGTCTAGGTCTTTTCTTTTCTTTTTCTTTGGAGTTGATGATATATCTTAAACGGCTGTATCAGTGCCACGGGTTGCCTACAGGTGTTTCAAGTCTTACCCTGAAGAAATTGTTCTAAAACTCCATAAATAATTATAGCTGTTTAATCTAATGTTTCTCTTTTTTTTATTCTCGATTTGTGATTGAAGGTTCAGTCTTATAGTTTATCATGTGATGATCACTCAACCCCATATTGAATATGAATTATTAAGATTTAGAACACGAACATGACAATATAGTTGTGAGATTTAATTTCAAAATGGCCTGAATTATCGAGTCATATGATCAATTAAGACAATTGTTTTTATTAAAATACTATTGTTTTATTTTATTTTTTAAAAAAGTTAGTGTTGATTCAACTGGATTTTAATAAAATTTAGCCGGATGACTTGAATTTCACTGTATTCAATGGCCTTTTCTGCTCAACTTAATTTAAGTTCGGAGTGTAAATTTCTTGAATTAATTTGCTGAACCAGGTTGAATTTAACAGTGCATTACCAATGAACTATAGTTCAAGCCTTCTGAGTCATGAAAAACATTACAAATGGTAAAAGGGGGACTGTAAGTACACGGTTCTTGTCTTGGGAGAGTGTTCAACTAGGATGTATTTTGTGAAAGCATCCTGTGACGAGGTCTAAACAAGATGAAAGTTTGGGCCAATCGAGAGGTTGGCTCAAGAACTCTGGTGCATTACCAATAAGGGACCTGGTTCGATTTTCCTAGCTTCGTTTCAAACGGTTTGGTTATGGGATATTTCCTCGAGCACAAAAGAGGGACAAGCCCAATGTTGTGTTGTTTCGGAATAAACCTCTTGGGCTTCCATAGCTAAAATGAAGAAAGAGAAAATTCTTTTTAGTTTGAGATCACTGACAAGCTGGAGTTTATTAGTAAACATAAGGAGATCTTGTTTTAAAAGAGGTAGCTCGAGGGAAACCAGCACAAAGATTGCAACAACTTCTTTAGTCAACGAATCATCTGTTTTTGGGAGGGGTTCTGAAAAAGAGAAAATAATTGAATTACTGCTAAATGAATGTGATCGAAGTGGAGATGAAGTTTCTGTGATGCCTATAGTTGGTATGGGTGGTGTGGGGAAGACGACACTTGCTCTGCTTTTGTACAATGAAGACAGATTGAATGAGAATTATAATGAATGGGAGGTTTTACGGAATCGTTTGATAACTGGAAAACAGGGAAGCAGAGTCATTGTGATCACGCGCAGTCAGGGTGTTGCATGGATCATGCGAACTCTTCCTGCTCACCATGTGGGGCAATTGTCGTTCAAAGATTGTTGGTCAGTATTTATACGATCCGAAGTCAGTATTTTGCAGAATCAGAAGATATATTATACAGTAGTGATATATGGGATTTGCCGAGTGAGAAGAGTGATATTCTACCTTACTTGAGATATCACTTTCGCTGTGATTGAAAGATATCACATGCCTCCCAATAATTTCCAGGTTTTGAGAATTTTTTGAAAGGGAATCTGCCCACACCAACCTAAAAACATCGATAATCAATGAATGGGAGAAGCTCAAATCATTACATGACATCTCTTCAAGAATTACACATGAGTGATTGTTCATGTTTGATGGCCTTCCTGGAAGGAGGCTTACCAACCAGTCGTGTATCATTTCAAATTGAGAATTTTGACCATCTCAGATCTTTCCCAGAAGGTGGTTTGCGAACGAACCTAAAATCACTCCGAATTGCAAATTGCGAGAACCTCATCCGCTGCATCGAGATGGAGTCGGACAGGCTCACATCTCCAAGAAACTTCAGCATTCGTGGATGTCGCGGTGTGGTATCATTTCCAGGAGATTGGCTGTTGCCAACGGCTTTAACTTCTCTGTGTATCCACGAAATTCCTGATCTCAGAACTTGACTGAGGGAATTCTACATCTCATGGTTCTAGAAAAGCTAGAGATTAGGGATTGCAATGAACTACTTTCTTTGCAAGAACAAGGGCTCCCAGATTCACTCTCTTTTCTAGAGATGTGGAAATGTCCCATGTTGACTACGAGGTGCTTAAAAGAAGAAAGGAGAAGACTGGGCCAAGATCGCATGCATCCCCTGCAAGAATCTTGACTACAAAGTTGTATTGTGACCTGCATAAAAAGGTTATAAATTCCCTGTTAAGCACTTTAACATTTCCTGCTTTATTTTGCTGTGCAAGAAAGAACAGAGATATTCATCAGGATTCATTTTTTACTGGTTTATTTTGCTAAGCAGTGCAGTTTCTTCGTTGAGGTTCATCCAGAGGTATTAATATAAAGCTTTGAGATTCTAGCATTTGTACTTGAACTTCAAAGTTATGCGAAGACTCCTCAAATGCATCAGTTGTCAATTCTTCATTCCTGTGCTTTTGAGGCATGGCAGGGTTCTTACAAGATTTTCTTTCAGGATCTTTCACAGATTCCATTCAATCTATGAATTTGAAACCTTGCTTGCAGATTCTTCATTTGCATGATGGTTGGGTTGCCATGATTATTCCAAGAAGGTCGAATCACTGGTGCCATCAATGGGGCTAGAAAAGGAAAATAAACAAATTGAAGATGCTGATCTTTGTTCTTCTTTGCATGATCACATTTCTAAACATAATTAAACTCGTATTCATCCGGTGATCTAGATTTAGAGCTCAACGTAAGTCTCTTTTTTTTTCCTTCAAACTATTTTGAAAATTAACCTTATTTATTTTTTATATTTTTATCCAAAATAAAATTATTTTAAGATAGACCATGATGACCCACCAACTTGTAGGGTGACCTGATAAACAAGTTACCTGATCCATGGGCCTTCCACAATGAACGGACTATATTAGCACCTCAAACATGGGCTAAGATGGGCTGCTTCTACTTGCAATTTATATCTAGGCTTGTAGAAGCCCAGTCCAAGACATTTGACTCTAATATGTGACTGAAAAGGATTAGAGGGTGCTGTAGAATGTTATTTTTTAATAAATTTATAAAAATAATATTTTTTTTGTTATTTTTAAAAAATTACTTTAAATATTAATATATTAAATTTTTTAAAAAAATTTAAAAAAATAAAAAAAAACCCGTTTAGAACGCATTCACAAACCTCCCTTTAATCGTGTTCGTAAAGGGTTAGCTTGTTAAAGATTCCTTAATTATTAAAATAATTTATGAGAACAACCTAACTCTGAAAGAATTCTTTCATGTTGATCCCTCCCTTGGCAAATGTCAGCCTTTTAAAAAATCCTATATATTTCTTCTTCCTCATGGCTCAGACCTTGTAGTTACGTTTGCATAAAAACATTCTATATATATATATATATATATAATTGCCCAAATTATCAAATTTTATAATATCTACATGCTCCAACCATGGATTAACTCGGAATTTGAGTTAACTGAAGACCTAGTTTATACTTATTTTTATATCAAATTTAATGGGAATTAATCTAATTAAGTTTGAAATTATCAAATTTTATAATATCTACATGCTCCAACCATGGATTAACTCGGAATTTGAGTTAACCTAGTTTATACTTATTTAATGGGAATTAATCTAATTAAGTTTGATTAACTTAACAGATTAATTATAATCTAGTTATAATTTATATGAAATTTAATTTATTCTTTTGATTTTTAAAAATATTTTTAATTTTTTAAAAATCAAAACAACATTATTTTCTATTAACTCATTCGGTAATTACAACGCAAACCGAGAAAAACTGGAGAGTTTGTTCTTGACCATGGGAAACCAGTTTGGTGGCTTGAATTCCGTTGACAAACCAGCCGACCAACCTTAATCGAAAGTGCCCACTCTTCTTTAATTTTCAAACTCCCTCTCTAACCTGATCTACTTCGTTAACCAAACATCCGCAAACTTCCTGTTCGACATCAATCCGTGTCCGAAACACAATCCTCTAACATGGAAGTGAAGCGCAGGACAGCGCGTTTACTAGTTACAAGGCTAGGTTCTGTCTCTGAGCAAACACGGTCTGAAGCCTTAGCTGAACTTCGCCTGATGACCAAAAACGATGCCGAATCACGTCCGATCATTGCCGAAGCCGGTGCAATCCCGTATCTAGAAGAAACCCTTTACTCTTCTTCTCACGACTCACAAGATAACGCAGCTGCAATTCTGCTGAACATCTCTATCTCTTCACGCACCGCCTTGATGTCAACGCGCGGCCTTCTTGATGCAATCTCTCATGTCCTACGCCATCATGCGACCAATTCATCCCCCCTCGCTGTCCAGTCATGTGCTGCCACGTTGCACAGCCTTCTTGTTGATGATTCTTACCGGCCCGTTATTGGGGCTAAGCGTGATATTGTTTATTCCTTGATTGAAATAATCAAGAGGCCTAATTCGCCGCCGAGGTCTGTAAAGGATGCGCTGAAAGCCCTTTTTGGGATTGCTTTGTTTCCGTTGAATCGTGCGAGTCTGATCGATTTAGGTGCGGTGGCGGCGTTGTTTTCGTTGGTTTTGAAGGATGGGAGAGTGGGGATTGTGGAGGATGCGACGGCGGTGATTGCGCAAATAGCAGGGTGTGCGGAGAGTGAGAGAGAGTTTTGGAAGGTTTCGGGGGTTAAGGTTTTGGTAGATTTACTGGATGTTGGGACGGGTTCGAGCGAGAGGGTTAAGGAGAATGCGGTGGGGGCTTTGTTGAATTTGGTGAGTTGTGGAGGGGGAGGAGTGGTGAAGCAGGTGAAGGAAATTGGACCGGGCGCGGTGGAGGGGATTAGGGATGTTGTGGAGAATGGGACAGCGAAAGGGAAGAGCAAAGCGATTGCATTGTTGAAAATTGTTGAGGGTGGAGCAAAGGAATGGGATTTTGCGGTTTGATTATCTTACATGAGCTTTGATCTTTATGAACTAATGGTTACCTGGATTGTATTTTTAGCTAGTTTTTTCTTATATATTTGTTTGCTGTTTACTTGTAGATGAATACGCGTGAATTACCTTCTGTTAAATTCTTGGGATACATGGACAGGAACAAGATGGAGTGATAGTGGGAAGAGAATGGTATACTCTGTTGAGATTATATTGTAGTGTGAATTGTCTAACAGTTAATTTTAATAACGAGAAGGAAAAAGTTTTCTGGTTTGTAGACTTCTGTTCATTTCTCATCTGGGATTGTAGAATTCTGACTTCATTTCAC